CGACTGACACTTTTAGCCTGACATTTTACATATGTCCTTTTCGCAAAACTGTGCCTGTGTGTGAGTGTGTAATAGCCCAGCTGGACCCATATGGAACTACAGTTAACTTACTTGAGCAGCAGCACAGCAGCATAGAGAGCATAAATTAAATATGATGGCATTTAGATTTTCTGCATTTGACAATACGCGATGGGCGTGAGAACTTCATGTGATTGTCACGCCTTTTAGGCACTAGTTCAGCTATTCCCGTTGGGTCTAAGCCGGCTGGCAGAACGTAAACTTAGGCTGCCAAGCACGCCTACACTTATGTTACTTAGTTACATTTGCCACATCAAATATTCATACATTCATGAGCACTTATTTGGAATGCGTATACTTCTGGCACGCACTGTTGCTCCACACACACACACTGAGAGAGAAAGAGAGAGAGGCGGTTACTAAAAGCCGGAAATTTGCATGCTGCGACTTTTGTGTTGCCTCCTCTTTGCGGGCGTAAAAATTTGCTTACATTTCGCAAAATTTTAGCAAACTCGAATTTTGCGAACTCCCTCTACAACAGTTTTTTTGTAGCTAAAAACTTTTTGCCAGTAGCTGCAGTCTTTTCGAGCATACTAAAAAATAGAAAACTAAAAAAAAGTAAAATTATCCAAACAAAATAAAAATAAGTTTGCTAATGCTGTGCCCGAAAAGCTGGCATTTGAAAGTAGTTGAGTTGGCTTTAATATGAAATCTGAAACAAGTTTGATTTAAATTTTGTTAAATTAATTACAATTCCGCTACAGTTTTAATGACATCTGATTAATCTATATACAATTTGCTTCGGCATGTAAAACAAGCAAAAGGCACTTAATATTTTGGAATTGAAAAACTTTTAACGCAATTTCAATTTCGGTTTGGCAGTTTCATTAATATTGTGGCTCATTAAAAAAGCAAGTCGCCTGCTTCTTCTTCTCTTCTCCTTTCTAGCTGCTAGAAAAGTTCGCACAGTCGCCGCAGGCAATCGAGTTTTATGCGTAACCTTAACCCAGGCTTAACTTGGCATGCATAGAGTCTGCTCAGAGATTTAATTGGGAAGAAACAAATCTAGTTAGTTGCAGGCCAAACTGAAAACTTCATTTAGCTGCATGAAAGCTAGTAATTGTTGCGAATTTCATTTCAGTTGGATACCGAAAAGCATGGCAAATTGTTGTGCATAAAAGGCAAGTTGAAATTGCTGTGAACAAATCAAATTATGTTAATTAAAAGCGCACAACAAAACTGAACTGAATTGTCCTAGTTGTTGTTGTTGCTGTTGTTGCTGGCCAACTGGTTGACTCTTTATAGCCGCACGATTTAATGAACCATGCGGAAGCAGCACGGCTAGAAAGGCAGATCCATAGGCAGGGGAATGGGCAGGCAGCCAAGAGGTAGATGAATGTTATTTATTTAGCAAGACTCGAGCCTGGCAGAAAAGGCAATCCTTTCGTTTAATACAGCTGGCAACATTAACTGGCCAACAGAACGACGACGACAGCAAGAGCAACGAAAAGAAAAGCTCAACTCAGTCACAAATTGTCACAAATTAACTCAATGAGTGGCGCTTGTGCAGTTGCCTTTGCTTCAGTCGAAATAATTTAATTACGAAGTCGAATTGCTGAGTTCTGACGAAAACAGGAACGTGGCCTTTGCACCTGACTATACAGTCTTATCTAATCCTGACCTCAATCAAACAAGAGTTTGACCAGGAGCCACGCAGTATTCTTTACTCGACCGTCATATGGCGCGTATACGTAATGTAATTGCCAGTTATTGTTATGTATTTGTGTATGTAGTGCATTTGATATGCTAAGCGTAATTGCGTGGCATGTCCACGTGCCGCAGACGTCCTCCGATGATTATATAATCGATATGGAAACACAACAAAGTCGTGAAAGCGGAGCTGCCAAAGGCTTTCAATTGTAGATACTTTTGTTTTCGCACTGTCACCAAGACAAGGGTCAACTTTGTGGCCGAAATTACAAACACAAAAACCGAAGCGACCAAAATAAATGTTGCCCACTAAAAATAGCGCAAAAGAATAATCAGAAAAGCCAGCGAGCAAAACAACTAGTAACAGCGAAACGCGGTCAGGCTACGTGTGAGCGTGTGTCCCAATACAACAAAGCCAACAAAGGGCAAATGCGTAAAAGATACGCTGCTGCAGGAGCAGAAGCAAAAAGGAAAACAAATTTATGTGCTGCACGGTGGAGCGCAAACAACCGCAGAGAATAAGTTTCAACATAGCCCACATCGCTCCGAGTCTGTTGCAAAATAAAATTATGCCAAACTATTTGAATATTGTAGAAAATATTTAGTTGAGTGCGGCAGACTAATAAAGTGACTGGGCTAAGCTGTAATTAGAATTGACTTGGTTTATACAATTTTAAAAAATCAACCGAATATATAAAAATAATTATAACAATAATAAATAATACTAATATAGTATGATAATAATAATAAATAATAACAATAACTTTCGTAAGAAAACCAGGCTCCAAGCTCCAACCACTCTCCTTATTAAAATCATATTTTTACATTTTACATTTTACATAAAATGTTTTGAGAATATTTTCCATACAAAAGAAAACTTCTTTACAATACAAAAAAAAAATATATTAAAATGGAAAACACTTTAAAAATGCATTGTCTAAAATATGACATTATATCTGAAGAGCTTTTAATCTGACTTAAAATTACTTTACTATTATTAACAAATATAATAAGCTAGAACAACATTTCTATAGCACTCATAACTGGTCTAGGTATATTATAGTCGAGTATCGGAGAGAGCTCAAATGCTGGCGGAGCTAAGCAAAAAGCCAGCCGGGACCAGTACACAAAAGCGCAAGCCAAGAAAATGTGGCAGCAGCTCTTTAGAAAAGTATCGAACAAGAGGGGCGAGAAAAACACGGCTAAAATGGGGTAAGATGGATAAGCGCCAAGCCAAACGGGTAAAGATGAAGTTTTTCGCGTTGGAATAACACGAAACTTAAAAGTGCACAAAAAAGACAAAGAAAAAAATGAAATGCGATAAAACGAGAGAAGTAATAAAAAATAAGTGAAATGTGGCAACGAAAAGTCAGACATCGGCTGCTGTGCAACGTCCAGGTTGTTGCCTGGCAAAGGATATGACGGCAGCCCCTGCCTTTCGCAGCATCTTTCAACTGCTGCGCTGTACGGCAAAAGTTTTCTCGAATCTCGGGTCAATATTGATAGTATAGCTCTGCCACCCGGTCGCAATGCCTTCAGTTTTTTATGAGTAATGCTCAATGGCGACGATTGCTTGTTAAAGCTGGCACACGGCGCGTATACGTAATCCTACAAGCACTTTAGTTCGCTGCGATAAATTAAATAACATTTTATTTTATTTTTCATATAAAATATGAAGCTGAGGATATCTACATAAGCTTTGATTTGCTCTAGCAGAAATTTAGAATTTTAAAAATAAATTGTGATATTGACTTTAAGGCAAGCTACGCATGTATAATGGAAATCATTTGAAGCTTCTGGCGTTTGGCTTAATTAATTGTATTATTTTATCGCCAGCTCTGCGATAAAAGGAATTAAATGGACGTAAATTTATGTGAAGCAATAATTTGGTAACACGACAGCAAATTAGCGACAATTTGATCAGCATGCAGCGCTGAGCTCGGCTAACTGAATCAATAAACCCGAAAGCCAAAGAAAGAAAATGCTTCAAGGTCAATCAAAATGGGCTTTGCAGTAAGAGCGAGGCGTTTTAATAAATGAATTGCTGATTAAATGAAGTTGGCCGAAGCAGACGAGCAGGAAAACGACAAGGAAAAAAATACAAATACAAAATAGAAATGTGGGCCAAAAATCCAGGGCACAAAAGAATGCTGAAGAAAATGTGGAACAAAATAAAATTGCGAAAATGTGCTCATGTGTCTGGCAAGCAGCTGAAGAGCGCGCGGAGCACAGGGTGCACGCGGTGTGTGCCCCATAAAATCACAAGCAAAGCCTGGCAAGGCAAGGCAAGGTTAAACTAGGCAAAAGCCTGTCACAGATGTGAATGCGACTAGCGAAATGTGCGCAGAGACACCATTTTATGGCCAATGATGGCAGAGACAGAGGCAGTGGCAGCGGCAGCAGTAGGCGCCGTGGGCAGCGGATACGCAAGTCGGGCCAAATGGCGCTGCTGAGAATGCAGGAACAATAACAAAAACAAATATCCGCCTGCGGACCGCACAAAGCCAATGAACGTCAGGCCAGTTCAGCGTTTAGGTCGTGGACTAGGAACACTAATATAAGTGTATGTGTATGAGTGTGTGTGTGTGTGTGTGTGCGTGTGTGTGTGTGTGCGTGAGTGTGCTGAGTTAGGTGACTTGGGGACAACGGACAAAAAGGACAGAAACACGCGCCGGGTCCGGCGAAACGTACGCACAACAGACACAGAAAAGGAAACGTTAATAAAAGTGTATTAAAAAAAAGAATCGATGAGTACCATTTAGGCCCCACACACACGCACATATACAGTGAGAGAATAGTAGGCACCCTTGAAGAACTGTCTGAAACCTTTTCAAGAGCCGAGGCACTTGGCGAACTGTAAAGGCCTCGAACCTAACCAAATATAGTTAGGGACATGCATATGGACATTGCTGGCAAATTGAGTTATTGTCCGAGTAAAGCTTTTAATCTGTGCGATTTTAATGTTTGTGCAAAGAGATTAAGAAAACAAAAGTAAAGTAAAGTTAAGAAAAGAAAGAAAAGTAATTTGGGAATGGAATAAAGTCTTTGACAAATAACAAATTACAAATGCCACATAAATGGGTCAACAAGTGCTGCGACGGCCCAAAATCCTTAAAAAATAAAGTCGAAAATAAATATATATATACATTTTAAGAGATCTGTTATTTAGCCAGACAGTGACATGGGGCAATGTTCTGTTCATAAAACAGAAACAAAAAAAAAAAACAAAAAGAAAACTTAATGGATTCGACTAACGGACTGACTTGACTCACCGTCAGCCTAGGGCACCATTCTATCGTTTGGCGCGTCTCCAAAAGGGCCATAAGACAGACAGAGACAGAGAGAGAGCAAAAGCGCGCGCAAGTGAAGACAGAAAACAAAATGAAACTGTGTGAAAACAAATTTTGAAGTAATTTACGTTACGCGTCAGAGAAAAACGTCGCTACGTTTTATTTATATTATGAAATTTAAGGCGAAAAAAGTTGCTCAAAAGTAAAGTGCTTTTGGGAGGCAGGCCCCGAGGAGCCCCACGCTGAAAGCACAACATTTGCATTCAAGGGTAAAAATATTAGAATTTTCTCATTTGAGGCGGAGGGCTTCTATTCTTTTTTTTGTGTGTTTTGCTTTTCTCTACTAATTCGAGTGTTTGTGTTTAATTTATTTGTATTTCTCCTCATATTCTTGTTGTTGTATTTGTTTTTGTGTTTGGTTGCTTTGTTTACACAAAAGCCACAAACACAGCTAAAGCTACGGCTACAGCTGAGCTTAGCTGTAAATAAATATAAATACGCACACACCCACACGCACGCATAATAACAAAAGCTACTCACCTATTAAACACACACTCACACATTCAAGCACGCATACACGTGTGCGTCGACTGCGGCGTTGGCGACAAATTTGAAATGCAGTTACATTTCGCCGCGAATTGCATTTGTTTTTTCCTTTTCCTTTTTCTTCTCTTGTATTTTTGTTGTGCTTGTCTCCGTTATTGTTGTTGTTGTTGTTGTTTTTGTTTTTGTTGTAGTTTTCTGCCTGATAACACAAACGACGCGGCAATTGCGGGTGAATGGGAATTAGAAAAATGCGACAAATCGCTTTGCACTGCACTTGACAAGCATTTGTTTATGGTTTCTTGTTTTTGTTGTTATTTTTTAATTTTTTATGAAAACGCTGAATTGTTGATTAGATTTATACACTAATTCTCTGGCAGTCGCTTTTGTTTGTTATTTGTATTTGCTGTAGATATTATGCAAAACTGTTTGCCCTGTTGTTTTACAACCGGCGGCAATTCCGCATACGTAGTGTTGCGGCAGCTTAATGCTCGAGCAGCTGGCGGGCGGTGGGTGGATGAGCACTGGACACAGAATTGCTCGACTTCCGGCTTTTCGACTTTTTCACAGCACGACGACAAGTTGAGCACTGAGCACGACGTTTGCGACCAAAAAATTCTGTGCGGGCCTAGCTAAATTACAGCGTACTCAAATGGCCTCTCTCTCTCTCCCTCTGCCCCACATTGTTGCTGCCTCGCTGACGCTTGGGCGCACATACTCTCTCTTTCGCTCACTCTCTTGTTTTGCTTTGGCTAGCTCTCTCTCGCTTTGAAGCAATCGTGTTCTGCAGCTTATGAACTCTGAGCGCTACTATTGTCGTCTTTTCGTTGCTCCAGTTCGCTTTGGCGCCAGACATCAACTGATAGGGCGAACCAGCGGCAGCTGCAGCAGCAGCAGCAGCGCTCGCAGCGCCGACAAGCGGTTGCTTTGGCGCAAACGTCGGCGTCGGCGTCAGCGTCGCATGTGCTACGTTTTGTTTACTGTTATTTGGCACAAGCCGCTGATTTAATGTACTCTCTCGTGCTCATTCAAGTTGCCTGTGGGTGGTGACTATAAAAGGTACAGTGTTGCCAAAGTGTCAGTGGTATTGCAAAATACAAAAGCCGACAAAGTAACTTAAATAAACTATCTTTTCTTATTTTACAATTTTATATATTTTAGTTTTTAGAGTAATATTGAAATATTTTATATAATTTAAGAATCAGTAAAATTCGTGCGCAGTAAATTCATTTTATTTCCTTGAAAGTTTGATTCGAATATATGCATATCGGACCACTGTGCCTCAACATTAAGAGCGTTCTCTTCAACGGCGTCTGTTGCGCAAGCGCCATTTTGGTGGGCAGGCGTTTGCCCATTGTTGGAGTTCAAGGCTCTTAATGTGCTTGTGCTCTTCCTTTAAGAGAAGCCTTCAGACTGAGTGATGTGATCTTGAGTGAAGTTAACTTAAAATATAATTCGTTAATTAAGTTGGTATTAGGACAACATTATTATATTTAAGAGCAAATAAATTATACATAGAAATTGGAGATTTAATCTTTCGGAATCTAAATCTTACTACTCACTTACTAATCATACTTTGAGCAAATATTGCTTGATATTGGAAATTTGAAAATTATTTCAATTGTACTTTGACTCAACCTATTTAAACATATTTTGCTGAGCTTTCATCGCTTCCTCTTAAAATACGAATTATACCACATTAAGCCAAATCCCCCGTCTAGATGAGCTCACTGTCGCTGGTCACGTCGACGTCCGGCGCCGTAGCTGGCGTTGCTTCTTTGCCCTCATTGGCGTCGTCAGTGTCCTCGGCTTCCGGCTTGCGTTCCGGTTCCACTTCCACCTCCATTTCCGCCTCGCGCACGCCATCCTCACATACCGCCAATGGCTTGCGCTCGAGCAACGGCCGCGGTGTGCGGCCCAGGAATGTATTGCAGACGGTCACAATGGACTCGCACTCATCGGGCGCTTTGGTAACCACAAACACGCAGCTCTGGATGACGTCGTGCGGCGTATTGTCCATCAGCTGGAACACTATATGCTGTTCCTCTATGTTGCCGTGCGTGACAACTTTGCCGTGCAATCTGCGCTCGACAAAACCGTCAAAACTTTCACCGCAAACTTCGTCATTCTTTTTGACTGTCGCTCAAAACTTACCCCAAGGGCTCGCCGCTAATTTTCATTTCCAGCTCAGCGTATTTCGAAAGCACATAAGTGAACAGCTCCTTTGCGTCGCTATAGTCCATCTGCAAGGGGATATGATAGAGACAGAGAGAGATAGACAGAGAGCTCTATCAGATATTAAGTTGTCTACTTACGTCCTCAATGCAGTGGTTGGGCGGTATACAAATCGATAGCTGTGCAAACGCAAATTACAAATTACTGTATATTATATATACCATATATTATATATTATAATTTACTCACCGTTTGCTGAGCGAGCAGCACAATTATTAAGTAACAATAAATATCCATAGCTGAACCACTCGGCGATCGACTCCAACACCAACTGAATCGCATGAAACGTTGTGACTGACATTGTCTCTGCTTAGCTCTATAATAAACACCAGTGACGTCATAATAATTAATATAATACGAAGATACAAAAGTTCATTCATTGGAAACTCTCACGCTAAATTGTAAACCTGGTGGCTAGCCACACAATTTTTATTTAAATTTCGATGTTAATTTGAAGAGTCGACAATAATGTAACGACAATGTAAAATTCTACATCATTTTAGATATATATATATTTGAATATAAAATGAATAGATCGAATATATATATATATATAATAATATATATATATATACATAAACTCGAATTCATATTTTTAAATATCAGTACAACTTTTTTTATGGGCAAAAGTCAACAAATATCAAGCCTTGTTGAATCATCAAAACAATGACTTACCAAAAGAGAACGATTAAAGAAGAGAGCAATAGGGATAGAGAGCCATTCCCTGCCGAAAAAATGGCATAAGTTATAGATAGGGAATATTTTAAAATATTCAAAATGTGAAAGCATTTTTTAAAATTTTTCCAAATTTTTTTAAATATTTCAATATCAAAATTATTCACGATTTTTCACAGTTTTTCACATTTTTCAAATTTTTTTTCAAATTTTTAATTTTTTTTTTCAAAATTTTGTCAATTTCTTCAAATTTTTGTCAAATTTTTCAAATATTTTCAAAACTTTTCAAACATTTTGAACGTTTTTAAAAATGTTCAACATTTTTCCAATGCTCCTTTAGGTGATTAGAAAATCTTGACTTGGCAGGCCAACAATTTTCTAATAGTTATAGTCTAATTCTACAATTATAACAATGTCAACTGTAGACAACCTATGTATTATCATTTGTATAGATAATTGAGTAAACATTATAATAAGAAAGAACTTTAGTTCCCATAGCATATGCTGAATGAATACAATTGTCTTAAATAAATATATAAAAATAAGTAAATAGCTAACGTGAACTGCTGGAGATAATTTAACAAGCGTTCAAGGCAGACAGAATTTATTTGTATTTACTTAAGTTATTTAAATTTCTTCATTTATAAAACCATTGAAGGTGAACTGGGATATTTTGGTTGCGTCGATTGATATTTGACGTTCAGCCTAAAAGAAAAAACAGCTGCGCATATTTGCAAAGAGTCCATCGATGTTTTTGCTATATAAGAGCAGATTGTCTACTTCAAATTGTACCAAAATCAAAAACGATCTTGTCGAGCTGACAATCTATTAAAATGCGCGCTGCAACAATTGTCCTGAGCTTCGCCATTTTGGCCAGTTTCGTTGTGCGGCGCAGCGAGGCAGTGGCCTGTACATCGTTTGCTCCTGATCTACCTCAGGGTTGCACCAACTGTCAACAAGCAGCAAATGCAAATAATGCTGACTGTACAACAACAACTTCAACAACAACAACAACGACAACAACTGAGGCATCGACCAACTCTGTCGGAACAGGCGGAACTGGACCGCGAATTGTGCGCATTCGCAATCTACAGTACACGAATGTGCGGCGCGTCCGCATCAATAGCAATGGGAATGCTTTGAGCGGAAGTCAATACAATGGCAATAGACGTGGAAACGTGAGGCGTGGCAATGCGAGGCGTGGCAATGCGAGGCGTGGCAATGCGAGGCGTGGCAATGCGAGGCGTGGCAATGTGAGGCGTGGAAACGGTGTCAACGTGCGTGTGATCAGGGTTTAAGCATATGAAACCGCATAAATTTCTAAATCGATTAATAACTAAATATATTTTAAACAATTTACTTACCTAATTTGCCCGCTTAACTATTCAATTTTTAAATATTAGAAATTTTCAACTCAAAAAATTATTAAGTATTTATTTAAAATGCTTCAATAATTTAAAAATTATTAATTTAAAAATTAATTTAATAATTTTTAATTTTATTTAAATTAGAAATAAAAGAGAAATGGGACCTTAATTGTTTAATAAATTAATCAATCACAAATTTATTTATTTTTCAGTTAAAAATTTATATTTGTGTATAGAGTAAATATTTAATTGCCTTTTGTCCTAAGCCAAAAACGTATAACAAAATATTTTTTAAATTCAAAATTATATTCTTTTTTTTTAATATATTAAGCCTTTAAAACATTGTAATATTCTCTTCTTTCATGTCTTTTCTGGTTTATCAGTAGCAAAGTTTAGATTGAATGTAAATCTTTTATATATCTGAAGCTGCAGGAAATCGAATTTTGCGATAGAAAATTGCAAACAGCTGTGCAAATACTACAGTCGAGGCTTTCTCCTTGATATAAAAAACGCTGTTGTTCCAAATAATATAAGAAATTGTTGAGGAATTCCCTGGGCTGTTGTCCAAAACATGAGAATCCGCGACATTTTCCTTTTCACGTATATTGCACCACCAACACCACCACATTATGCGCCGGGACTTTATAATATTTATATTTAAATCATACAATAATTATATATACAAAATAGAAATAAATATAAGTCAAACAAATTATTCTAAAGAAATCACATATTCGTAACTGGAGCCTCAAAAAAATTAATAAGTTGCGCCGAATGTTAGGCTACATTAAATTGGATGCATTTCAGCTTCGCGTTTCATAGCACTCAACTTTCTGTTGGTATACAACGTGCTGAGTTCTCTGCTGACTTCAATATGCAAATTGAAGTGATATCAAATAATCATACCTAACATACTATAATACTGATTAGGAAATATATATAGCAATTAACAATTATCTGCTTTTTTAGGATCAATATTAAAAATTTACTTATATTTTAGTTTTTGTTCATCAGGTGTATCTATATCAGCAAGGTGAACTAACAAAATCATAAATGGGCTTTATGGAACCTTAGCTAAGTTCTAAATGTCACTTCAAAGAATAGTTTAAAAGCCAAGCTAAATCAGTCATTTCCTTATCAGCATAATGTATTAGGTTAATTGCTTCGCTCGGCTGAGCGAAGTAATTCATAAGTGAAATCAATAATATATATATATATATATACATACATATGTATATAAATATATGTCAGTGAACTGGATTATCTTCGGCTACAATTATCAAATAAATATAAAAATCATCTTGAACCTAAAAAAAAAACGAATATATAAAATATTTATACACCTTTTAGGCCAGGTAAGATTTTAAACATATTTTTCATAGAAAACAATAATAAATTTTCATTTTTACCTAGCTGCAGGTTTTCTTACCTGCTTGCACTTAGGTACGCTTCTTCCATTCTTCTTCGATCGTCTGTGATCTTCTGCAGATATGAAAAATCAACATATTGAAACCAGACAAGAGCTCTGAGGCTAGATGTGTATGCCTAGGTTTGCTGATAAGAGGCCATGTTGACACGACACTAACATATTTTTGGGCAATTGTCTTTGTCTAGTTGTCAGGCTGTAATTACGTAGACTACAAGAAGCATATCAAGTGGCATGGAGCTACAAATTATATTATATACAAATTATATATGTATAGCATATCAAAATCAGATTTGGAATCAGCAATTAATTTAACTACACTTAATTAGCTGACAGGTAAGTATGCGAAAGAAGGCAACTTGCACAGCTTTAAGTATTCAAATTAATTTTTTTAGTTTTTACATTAAAGATTCTAGAAATGAATTTTAAGCATTTGTTTTTATTTTATATAAAGAACGTCATCGGCAGGCTGGCCTCCACGATGCGAAAAATATTTAAATGATTTTTCAATCAACTGGGAATCGAGGCGACTAGCCGGCTTTTTAAACGAACCGGTTCGGGTCCAAAGCCACAACAAACAACTTAGAACTTGGATTCTTATTTACAATATAAAAAACTTGTATAATTAAAGGCTCATAAATACGGAATACGAAACGATATGATGAGTTCATAGAAATGAATGAACAAATGAAATGAAGTTACAAAAGGGGGTATACCCTGAATATTCTTGCCTATATCTATCAAAATACACATATACAAAGAGGCATATGTCAGTGTTTGAATGTTGTCCAATAAATTGTCTTTACGAACACTTTATATATTTTATAATTGTTGATGTTTTAATATATATGTAAAATGCAAATGTTAAAAATTATTAAAGATTTTCGAAGATTATCGTACATTCAGTACACAACTATCAGGTCTATAGTCCGCATCTGCATCGGCCTATTGCATAAGTGCTTACAAAATCATTACCTGTTGGCCACATTTATTGAGTACAGAGTATAACAAGCTAAATATATATATAAGCGAAATTCGTCTCGTTCGCATATTCAATTGCGTCATTATCTAGCAATAAATATCTATTTATCTATCTATCTATCCACCTATCTATCCATCTACCTGTGTATATATTGCCCGTTAAGGAAGCAATTGAACACACTTAGAATTCCATTTAGCAGTCGACTCAAGTTTTAGTTTTTCTTGTTCTTTATTGTAAAGCTGACATGGTTATGGGTCGCTTAGAGAATCAGCGCTTAGGCGCTGTGCTTCTTGACTACTTGACCGTCGGGGCAGTTAAAGGTCACTTGGATGCCGTTCTCGAGCCAGGGCTGGGACCAGATCTCCACATTGCAAGTCTTCGTGGTGCTGCCGTCAATCAGCTCCACATCGTAAACGTATTTGCTGCCTGAAACAACTTGGTGCGTTGCCTTGATAATTTTGCCCAATCTAAGCAAATATTTGAATGATTTTATAAATGTACTAAATTCAATAAATGTTCCTTAATGCTTACTTATAGTTGGGTCCATCGCCGCTAGCCAATTTGGCCAGTGAATTGTTTAGGGTTTCCTCGGCTTCCTTAAGTTCAGAGCCAGAGAGCTCCGATACGCCGCCGAGAAGCTATAGGAACCAAATTTATATAAATAAATACATATATATACACACACACATATATATATATATATATATATATATTTATTTATATATATTTATATATATATATATTTATATATATTTATATTTATATTATATTTATATATATTTCTATATATTTATATATATATATATATATATATATAGATATATATGAATGAGGCACTTCATCTTATTTACTTACGCCAGCCGAAACAACTGTCAAGGCCAAGCTGAGAACAAAAATGATTTTCATTGAGAACATTTTTTTTCCAAATTTCCGCCGAACTGCACAAAGTACGTTTCCAGACTGAATGCTCGACGCTCAGCTGAATCGACTTTTATAGCCGATCTCAAATTGTTGACTCTGAGGTGAGCATATGTGTGTGTATTTGCCTCTTATAGAGCACATCGATCTGAAAGCAACAAACTAAGAGAGAGAGAAAGAGAGAGATAGAGAGCGTGAGAATGAGAAGCAAACAAGAGAAATTATATTATAAAAATATAAAACAAATACGGGTTGGTTTAGATGTCTATAGACTATTCAAAGTTTGTTTAGAACCTAATCTTAATCATAATATATTTTTGTTAATTAATTATAAATATATAAACTGTTAAGCCGCTCCTAATCGTCGAAATTAAAAATTAAATTATTTATTTAATTGTTTAGCTCCAAGTTCAACTGATTAATATTAAATGCTAACATAAAAAAATGTTTTTCATATTATTTATAAGTACAGTTGTCTGTTTGTCATATTGTACTAAATTTTTTAGGCTGGCATAAAGCAAAATATAATAACGACTGAATAATACTTGTTCACAGTCCAAGCACATATCAAAGAGGAAATGTGCAGTAACTTAACTGTTCAAAATGGCAGCTCTACAGCACTGTAAAAGCAACAGTTTATTTTCGATCGGCCACGCCCTTGGTTGGACGGTCGGACAGCGAGACGAACATTGCGCAAAACCAATATACTCCTTCTCTAATTGAGTATTAAAACATCCGGAACAGGCGATAAGAACCGGTTTAAATTGTTATAAAAACAAGTAAGAAAGCTCTAGTCGGGGTGCCCGACTAGGAGATACCCTGATCCCAGTCCTTTGAGTTTTGTAATATTTTCCGTAGTTTGTATCGAGTATTAAAAAAAAAAGAAAACAAATAAAAATCGACATTGCGAGACCAGGATTCGAACCCGGATTATTTGCGCAACGTGCACAAACTCTACCAACACCGCCACTTCATAACTAAAAAAAAAAAAATAAATAAATAATATAAAACAATAAAAAACATTTCATCTCCTCTGGTCTCGAACCCGGACCAAGCTGCATCCGAGAGGTGCCTCTACCAACGCAGCCACTGCCCTTCTTACGCGAGCTGTTGCAAATTTGAACATAAGTAGCAGCTAATAATTCAGCACAATTCAATCGCAATTTCAATTCTTGGAATAGAAAAGTATACACGCATTTGAATGTATGTGTGCACACGCATAGGAAAAATGCGTGCGCGTGGCGCTGCTGACATGTGCTTTTGCAAATTGGCCAAACGTTTTGTTTAATAACTTCTGTTTTACTTAATGGATTTTAATGAAATTTTCAGCATATGATCTACATATCCTATTGGCTTGGTTGAGATGCAAACGCCTTCACATAATGGCCCTAGTTCCAACTAAACTTAAATTCTAAGAATTTGGGGGAATTTGGAGCCGGTATCCAAAATCCAACAAAAATCAAAATTGCATAAAATATACATAACACTAAATACAAAATTTGGAGGCTCTAGCTCTTAAGACGTTCGAGATATAATTTATTTACTGCATTTCAATAATGTTTTTATTCGATAACAATTAAATGCGAATAGTTATCGAATATTTGAAACAAACTTGACCTGCGCGTGCTATACACGGACCTACAAAAAAAATTTCAAGTCTCTAGCTCTTATAGATGCTGAGATCCACGCGTTCACACATACGGACAGACGGACAGACGGACAGACGGACAGACGGACAGACGGACAGACGGACAGACAGACAGACGGACAGGGCTCAATCGACTCGGCTTGTCGTCCTGATCAAGAATATATATACTTTATGGGGTCTGCCACGCCTCCTTCTGCCTGTTACATACATTTGCACAAAACCATTATACCCTGATTTCCCATTTTTAATGGGATCAGGGTATAAAAAGAAAAATATTAATATTTTTTTTTAAACAAAAATAAAAATAATATGACTTAATACATATATTAGCATAATTAATGACAACAATTATCAAACATATTTCATTTCAGTTCACTTGACATTATAAAATGTCGAGAGCTGCTTTATTCACGCCTCTAGAGTATAGTTATTCTGATCCCAAATAAAACTGCGAACAGAACAAAATTAAAAAAATAATATAATTAGTGCCGAAAAATGCCCAGCGCATTCAATCTGAAAGACAGACGGATATGGCTAGATCAGCTGGGCTGTTGATCCTGAACATATATATACATATATATATACATATATATATACACTTTATGAGGCACGCCCTGTGCTGCCTGCACACACATTTGAGCAGAACCATTTTACTTTCAGAGTAGTCAGAATTTGAAATAAGCTAAATAAAAGTCTTTTTTATTTATTTTTAGCTTTAAAAAATTAATATATTTTCTACTCATAAATTATTTAAAAAAATATATGTATGAAAATGAATAAAAAAATTAATTAAAACTAGAAACTTAATATGTTGATATGTATAATATACACATACAAATATATATTTATATATTTAAGTTTGATCAAAATAAAATCAAAATAAAATAAGGTGCAAGTCTGGACGGAGTTTCTGATTGTCATTAGCATAGCTATATCAACAGTAAATATTCCAAAGACTGCTAAAAAGACTATAGAAATTAGTATCTAACTATCAGGTCTATGGGGCAGATGCGCAGATGAGACGCAGCTTGGGAAGTGAACTACGGCTGCATAGGCCTGTTGCATGAACCATTAGACTTTGCAGTAAATTTTGAAACCTGTTCGCTTGCGTCATTATCGAGCAATACATATCTATATCAATTTTTTTCTGTTTCGTTTCTTTATTGTAAAGCTGATATTCAAGGTGTTTGGTTGTGGGTTGCTTAGGCGCTGTGCTTCTTGACAACTTGTCCGTCGGGACAGTTAAAGGTCACTTCGATGCCGTTCTCGAGCCATGGCTGGGACCAGATCACCACATTGCAAATCTTCGTGCTGCTGTCCTCAATCAGCTCCACGTCGTAGACATATTTGCTGCCCGAAACAACTTGGCGCGTTGCCTTGATAATTTTGCCCAATCTAAGCAAATATTTGAATGATTTTATAAATATATTAAATTCAGTTAATGCTTCGTTAATTCTTGCTTGTAGTTGGGTCCATCGCCGCTAGCCAATTTGGTCAGTGAATTGTTTAGGGTTTCCTCGGCTTCCTTAAGATCATCGCCAGAGAGCTCCTTAATGCCACCGCGAATCTATATGTATATTTCTTTAGATTTATTTAAATGAGACACTTAAAATAGTTCACTTACGCCGGCCGAAACAACTGTCAAGGCCAAGCCGAAAATAAAAATGATTTTCATAGAGAACATTTTATATTTTATTTTTCGAAATTTCCGTTGAGCTGCACGCAAAGCACAACTTTAGACTGAATGTTCGACGCTCAGCCGAATCGGCTTTTATAGCCGATCTCTTATAGTTAACTATGAGGTGAGCAAGTGAGTGAGAGAACGTGAGAGTAAGAAGTAAACAAAAGAAATTAAATTATGAAAATAAAAATCAAATGCGGTTTGTTTTATATTATCTTTATATTTGTGCATAGGATTTTTTGTTGCTTAGAATCGAATCCTTATTATAAGCTTTTGTCTTAATCAAAAGAAAGAAAGAGAGCTGTCTACATCACAAATTGTCAAACTTATTTATTGAAATATTTAATATATATAAGTTTGCTAATTAATTATAAAAATATAAATTGTTAAGCCTCTCTTAATCTTCGACATTAAAAAACTAAATTATTTATTTAATTGTTTAGCTCTAAGTTCAACTGATTAATATGCAATGTTAATGAACATAACAAAATATTTTTAATAAATTCATTTTAAGTACAGTTGTCTGGCCTAAAACAAAAAGAACAACGACTGCATAATACTCGTTCGCGATCCAAAAACAGTTATTTAATATCAACAGGGAGTCTGCTGTAACTTAAGTGTTCAACAGGGCAGCTCTAGCTTTATTTTATTTTCTACCACGTCCTCAGATGGACGGACGGACAGACAGCAAAGCGAACATTGAACTAAACCAATATACTCGTTTCCTAATTGAGTATAAAAACATACGGAACAGGCGATAAGAACCGGTTAAAACAAGTAAGAAAGCTCTAGTCGGGGTGCCCGACTAGGAGATACCCTGATCCCAGTCCTTTGAGTTTTTTAATATTTTCCGTAGTTTGTATCGAGTATTAAAAAAAAAGAAAACAAATAAAAATCGACATTGTGAGACCAGGTTTCGAACCCGGATTATTTGCGCAACGTGCACAAACTCTACCAACACCGCCACTTCATAACTAAAAAAAAAATAGAACAATAAAAAACATTTCATCTTCACTGGTCTCGAACCCGGACCAAGCTGCATACGAGCGGAGCCTCTACCAACGCAGCCACTGCCCTTCTTATTCGAGACGTTGCAAATTTGAACATAAGTAGCAGCTAATAATTCAGCACAATTCAATCGCAATTTCAATTCTTGGAATAGAAAAGAATAGGAAAAATGCGAGCGCGTGGCGCTGCTGACATGTGCTTTTGCAAATTGGCCAAACGTTTTGTTTAATAACTTCTGTTTTACTTAATGGATTTTAATGAAATTTTCAGCATATGATCTATATATCCTATTGGCTTGGTTGAGATGCAAACGTCTTGACATAATGGCCCTAGTTCCAACTTAACTTAAATTCTAAGAATTTGGGGGAATTTGGAGCCGGTATCCAAAATCCAACAAAAATCAAAATTGCATAAAATATACATAAGACTAAATACAAAATTTGGAGGCTCTAGCTCTTAAGACGTTCGAGATATAATTTATTTACTGCATTTCAATAATGTTTTTATTCGATAACAATTAAATGCGAATAGTTATCGAATATTTGAAACAAACTTGACCTGCGCGTGCTATACACGGACCTACAAAAAAAATTTCAAGTCTCTAGCTCTTATAGATGCTGAGATCCACGCGTTCACACATACGGACAGACGGACAGACGGACAGACGGACGGACGGACAGACGGACAGACGGACAGACGGACAGACAGACAGACGGACAGGGCTCAATCGACTCGGCTTGTCGTCCTGATCAAGAATATATATACTTTATGGGGTCTGCCACGCCTCCTTCTGCCTGTTACATACATTTGCACAAAACCATTATACCCTGATTTCCCATTTTTAATGGGATCAGGGTATAAAAAGCGCCTAATATATTTAAAACAAAAAAAATAATTGTTTATAAGCAAATGAACAAAAATAATATGACTTAATACATATATTAGCATAATTAATGACAATAATAATCATAATTACAACATCAATACATAATTATTGACAGAACTGCTCGACATTACGCAACTTTTAGAGTTAGTAATTTTAGAATTTAGTAATTCTAATTCCGAAGAAAGCTGAGAACTGAACAAAATCGAATTAGAAAAAATATATATTTAGATAATATTAGAAAATCTCTGAGGAGAAATAAAACAAGCGTCCAAAGTGTTGATAGCTATAAATAGAGCTCAAATGTAACCTTGGTATGAAGTCCTATAAAAGCTGTAAAAACTCCGCAGTTCGAAAAGAATTCCCTTACAATCTCATCATTTAACACTATAAACAAATTCGCTGGCTCAATATCTGGCTGAACAAGAGTATATATTAATATATATACATATATTATGAGACCTGCCACAACCTCTGCAGCGTGCTACAAACATTTGAACAGAACAATTATACGTTCAGGGCATTGAAATATAAATTATAAATTAATATATAAAGTATTTTTAAAGTATTTTTAAGTTTTCAATAATTAGAATATTTTCTGTTTATATAATATTAAAAAAATATAAAAATAAATTAATATATATATATATATTTATATATATATAAATTCAATTAATGCTAAAAATTAAATATTCTTATATGTATAATATACATATAGAAATATATATTAATGTATTTAAATTTGTTCATTTTTGAAGCGAATGCGAAAGTCTGGACGAAGTATTTATGATTCTCATTAGCATAGGCGTGTCAACAGCAAATATTCTAAAGATTGCTAAAAACACTCCAGAAGTCAGCCCGAATAGGTCTCTCTGTGAACGAAATCTGCTATTGTTGTAAGTGTTAAACAAAGGCTGATCTAAGCCTCTGCTGCTGTTTAATTAGCTGCGATCTGTTCTTAACAGTTGTTTTTGATTTGCTTACTTAAGCTGTAGCTATACCCATTGATCGTCATGAGTAAGAGGGTATGCTGTTTTTGTTCTTAATGTGGGTGGCAGGCAAAACAGCCGAGACGATCTAGCCGCGTTTGCTCTCAGCCTCAGATTTAGAGATTTAAAATATCAAAAATTCTATATATTCATGAGAGGAACGATAAACGATATTAAGCTTCAGTAATGAAAGCATATATCCTAGGTCTTAGAGACTAAAACCATTCATTTGGTAAATAGGCTTAGCTGAAGTCTAGTAAAGCAGCCAGCATCTGCCTTGGATACCTTTCTCTTTTGTTTTTACTAAAAGTACAAGTAAATTCTGTCATATATATAACTTTTTAGGATTTAGTTATGAAGATCGAGTTAACGTCGAAGTCATTCAAGAAGAGACATAAAATATGTATTGTATAGCTATATTTATGTATTGTATATGTGTGTATGTATGTAATCATGGATATAGAATATTTCAACTAGGCACGAGTATGTTCTAGTCGAGCAATCCCCGCTATAAGATCGAAGAGTTAAGGCCGAACTTATTTCCAAAGCAGAGAACGTACTTCTTCCACATATAACATATGTGTTATATCTGAATATATATAGATTTGCATTAGAATATTTAAAATATGCACGCGACACCGAGTTCGAGGCATGTTCTAGTCGAGCAATCCCCACTATAACACGCTACCTTGATTATCTGACGCCACCACTACCTGTGTGACGTCACTAACTGAAGCCATTCAGCACACAAATTATGTAATCTGCCAAAGATGTATTTCGGTACGAGGCAGATTTCAATAAATTGAGACGAAAACCGGTTTTGGTGCTTCAAAATCTGTTTATAGGTTTACTCGAATGTTTTTACAATGCCTGAACAGAAATGATTACCAGGTGCTGTCGACATTGGTATCATCGCCTTCGCACTGGATTTTCACATTGGTGCCGTTCTCCTGCAGCCACGCCTGCGTCCAGATCTGCACATCGCACTGCTTGGTTCCAGTCTCGTTGCTCAGCTCCACGGTGAACTTCTCCAGAATGCCAGAGACAACTTGCCTGGATGCCTTCAGTACTTTGGTGGCACTGCAGAAATCGATATAGTGGCAGAATATTAGCTCTATATATAAATATATAAATATGTAAAATATAACAAGCTGCTCTTTTGATTAAGCTCTGCGTGACTTGTAGAAAATATAGTTAAGATAAGACCCCATCAGACTCATACAAAGCTCCGTTATGAACACAAATTATTCGGATAGTTTTAAGGCTTCCGCCTTAAATTTGATATCTATATACCCGATTCAGATACGACAGATACTAGTTACTTCCGACCAATAAATTCTAGTTTTTTCTAAAGTCTTATAAAATATATTATTGCAAATATTATATTATATTTTATATTGAAAGCTATTAAAAATATTATAAAATTACATGAAATTTAGTGAACCATAAAGCAAATTGGTCCTACAGCCTTACAGCTAAAAAATGGATTTACTTTTTATCCCCAAAGACATTTCCTTAAATTTGACTTTATCCAAAAAACGGGAAAGAGTATTGCGCAGTCGATGCGACAGTTTTCACCTGCTTACCTAATGCCACATTTAATCTATTTGAGCAGACCGAAAAACTGGGTTGGAAACGTTGGATGACTCACGTATAGCTAGGTCCATCGCCAGTTGCCAGCTTGGCCAGAGTCGCGTGCAAGTTCTCAACTGCCTTATCCAGCTCATCGCCACTGAGCTCGGCGGGAGCGCCCAAGAGGTGACTTCTGGCCAGGGTCGAGCACACCAGTGCAAAGACGGTCAAATAAAAGATTTTCGAATCAAACATTTTCAATATGGAACTATAACTAGCTTGGCCAAAAGTTCACACCAAACTAAATGCTCAATCAGAGAAATTAGCCTTTTATACGCTGTTCGCTCTGAGCGCAGGTTGCTCGCACCCATACCACGATATGTATATAGTTATGCAGACATATATATATTTGTCTATCTGCGATACACCAACTTATTTTTTAATTAATTTACATTAATTATTCGCGACGCATTGTTACTCTAAGACTAGTTTTTATGCCTAAGTTGATCATGATCTGTTAATTAATTTGAAATATTTAGCTTCGAAATAGAAGAGAAAAGTTGAATGACGAATAGTGAAAGAGAGGGAGATATGGGGAGAGAGAGGGGACGACATAGAGAAAGAGAAAGTGGGAAGTAGTATAAAACAAACACATAGACATAGAGAGAGAGAGAGACACAATGAGATAAAAAGTAGTTAAGACACAAAAAGAGAGACAGAGATGAATAGATAGAGGTAGAAGGTAGAGAAAGACAGGGAATAGAATGAGAGACAGAGAAATAGAAGGAGAGATAAAGAGTAAGAAGAAAAAGAACAGAAAGAAAGAGAGAGAAAAATAAAATGAAAGAGAGAGAGAGAGACCGATTGAGAAACATTGTGAAATGTAGATGAATAGAAAGAGAGGCAGAGATAGAGAGTGAAGAGACAAGAGAGGCATAGAGACTGAAGATGAGGGTATGAGAGGGGGAGAGACCCTCTCACGTATCTATATATGTATATATATATTGTACGTATATTATATATATATATATATATATATATATATATATATATATATATATATATATTTTATATTTCACATGTTTTCAACTCACTTTTTCTATAGTTAATCAACATTTAGCTTAACTTCAAAAAGGTTTTGCGGCCTCAAAAATATATTTGATATAAATTGACGACGGAAGAAATTGTTTAACTTGATTGATAACTCGAAACAAAAGTTTTTCAAGTACAGTCAGAATTTGACGTCAATAATAATGTATATAGATATTTTCCAACTATTCAGTATTGTAGGTATTTAAGCAAAAAGATAATTCGTTTTTGTTTTTGTCAATTAAAAATAAATTCCATGAAAGAGTAATGCTAGTTGGAAATATTATCTAAATTATTTTTATTGTTTTACTCATTAAAAATTAGGATTTTGTGAAAATAAAGAAAATATTAACGAGAAGCAAAGTGATTCAATTTTGTTTTTAAGTGCGGGGGTAAACACTGTATACTGTATACTATAGCATATATAGATAGCATTTAGAGAGAGCCCTATATATTTGGCGCATTTTTGTCACAAGCATTGATCCCTACAAAATGAAGTCAATGTTGATTTTCACACAACTGATAAAGCAATACAGTTGATTCCATTTATAGACATACTATATAAACATACATATTGGGGCGTACTTAGCGAATTAAATGCGATAAAATCAGTAATATATAATTATATTTAACACGCATATTCGAGTTGGTTTAAAACGTGGTTTCGAGCACATTGTCATCGCCTTCTAGTTTGATTTCTATATTGGTGCCGTTCTCTGGCAGCCAGGGCCGTGACCAAATCTTCACGTCGCTCTCTTTGATGGCATCGCCCTGGGCGAGTTGAACCTTGTAGCGGTAGATCATGCCAGCGACCACTTGTGACGTCACGGACTTCACTTTAACAACTCTGGAAGGACGAATATTCCAGTTGAAACAAATTGAATAGAGCAAAACCGTTACTCACTGGAAGCTGGGCTTATCGCTCATTCCCGACAATTTGGCCAGCGATGTGTTTAATATATCCAGGGCATAATGTAAATCATCGCCCTGCAGCTCTTTCGATATTCCACCACACATAGGTTCGGTTTCTTCAGCCATTTAGTAGTTTCTGATAAGGCTGCGACTTTGAATGTAATATAAATACTTTGTGAAATTCTTGAATCAGAGTTAAACAGTGCAAATATCTCAACAAGTATTTACCTTATTTAATGGCGCTTTGTTTGGCAACTTGTCGATGACTGAGCGGTGAGTCGATCAGCTGGCACAGTTCAGGGTGGGCATTGGACTTTCTTTGTGTATGTAAAGTAAGAGAGTGACAATGAGAGAGTAAACACAGCAAGCAACGTACACAGTTTGCTCGCTTTCGCTCTATCTCTCTCTCTCTCTCTCTCGCTAATTTCGTTTCCATTCGAACAGTGACTCACTCATGCGATGATATCGTAAACAAGCTCTGGAAACAGGGGAATTTATGGAAATTTCCAAGAGCAATCGATATCGATAATTGTTATCTAAGCATCGTGATTATTAACTGAAATTTAAGTAAATTAAATAAAATTGCAATGAAATCAAAAACCATTATGCATTTATTTACTTCAGCATACCAATTCTTTAAAACAAGTTTGAGGTACGAATTTAAAAAGCCTTATAGTTAAGCTCGCTCTCTATTCTATTTATTTTTTTCTATTCTATTTAACACGCAGATTCGAGTTGGTTCAAAAAGTGATTTCGAACACGTTGTCATCGCCTTCTTGTTTGATTTCCATATTGGTGCCGTTCTCTGGCAGCCAGGGCCGTGACCAGATCTTCACGTAGCTCTCTTTGATGGCATCGTCCTGGGTGAGTTGAACCTTGTAGCGGTAGATCATGCCAGCGACCACTTGTGACGTCACGGACTTCACTTTAACCACTCTGGAAGGACGAATACTCTAGTTGAAACAAATTAAAAATTTACTAGAGCGAAACTGTTACTCACTGGAAGCTGGGCTTATCGCTCATTCCCGACACTTTGGCCAGCGATGCGTTTAATATATCGAGGGCATAACGTAAATCATCACCCTGCAGCTCTTTCGATATCCCGCCGTATGAACGTTCGGTTTCTTCAGTCATTGAGTAGTTGCTGATAAGGCCGCGGCTATGAATGTAATACAATTACTTTGTGAAATTCTTGAATCAGAGTTAAATAGTGGGAAAATGTCAAGAATCTACCTTATTTGATGTCGCTTTGTTTGGCAACTTGTCGATGACTGAGCGGTAAATCGAACAGCTGTCACAGTTCAGGGGGGGCATTGGACAATGAGAGAGTAAACAAAGCAAACAACGTACACACTTTGGTTCGCTCTCTTTCTCTCTTGCTAATTTCGTTTCCATTCAAAGTGACTCACTCAAGCGATGATATCGTAAACAAGCTCTGGAAACAGGGAAATTAATGGAAATTTCCAAGAGCAATCGATATCGATAGTTGTTATCTAAAGAAAGTGATTATTAACTGAAAATTGGGCAAATTAAATGAAATTGCAATTAAATGAAAAACCATTATGGATTTATTTACTTCAGCATACCAATTCTTCAAAACAAGTGTGAGGTACAAATTTAAAAAGCCTTATAGCTAAGCTCGCTCTCTATTCAATTTAAATAACGCAATAATTAACGATCATTCGTTGCTGTTATAGTACAGATTTTATATATATATATATATATATATTATTATATATTAAATATATATATATATATATATATATATATATATATATATATATATATATATATATATATATATATATATATATATATATATATTTATTATGTATAGATGTATTTGTTATATTTTATACTCTTCCCGCATAACACATTTTTCAATTTCTAATTGAAATTCTTGGTAAATATTTCAAAAAATACTTTTACCCCCCGGCCCCACCCTGCGAGAATCTTAATCAGAACTTAATTAATATATCCATTTTCTTTATGTTTTAGTATAGTTGTTTCGTTAGCAAAACAGTTCCAATAACAAATCCCTCTCCTTTAGTTTGTGTTTTCAGTTTCTTGCTTAGATGTGTATATGCATGTGCTCCAGCAGCTGAGCCCGATCGGAAAATATGGACGAGCACATCTCGCACTCGAAGCAACGGGTCCGACGCACCGTTTTACTGGCTGCTGCTGCCTTGGCTGCATCGGCTGCATGTGCAGCGGACACCACCTCGGAGATGGAAAAGAAACCGGAACTGACATCCGAGGAGTTGGCACTCGCTGCGACGCTCACATTGTAAGAGTCGACACCATAGCTAAGATATGACTTGCTGACGGCTTCTGTGGATGATGTGTTGCAGCTGGGTTTCGTGGCGTTGGAGCCGGCGGCAGCTGAGGATTTGCCACCGCTTCGCTTGGACGCCGCTCGTCTGCCCGAGCCAATGGCAGTGAGCTCTCGCAGATGGCGCGATGTACGCGCCGCCGACGATGAGGATGATGATGTGGGCGTGGCCGTTTGTCCAGTTGCGGCACTAACACGCTGTTGGCTCTCCACCATATCACGCAGATCCGGCGATGTGGGCTCAATTTTAATGAGATTTTGCTCTTCCTCCGGCAGGAACTGTGGCGTCGTCGACGATTCGCTGGTGAAACGCAGCCGCGTATTGCGATCATGTTTGAGGGGACTACGCAGTATCTCCTCGAGATCATTGACAATGCTGGGATTGAACTTGTCGTAGGTCTTCTCCCGCAACATTGCCGTATGGATCATCAGATGGGTGTCATCGTACATGAACTGGGTGCGCTGTTGCTGCTGCTCCTGCTCCTGCTTGATATGCAGCGGACTGGAACTGATCTGATTGGGCGGATGTGTGGCAGGTGATATAATCTCGTAGTCATCGACAATTCGCGAACTTGACACGCCGCACGACTTGACCAGCTGACTGGTCAGCTGGCTGCTGCTCTCATTGGTGCTCGTGCGCGTAATGTAGCTGCGGCCGCGCGTCTTCTTCGATGCATTCTCCGGGGGCAAGCGCGACTTCTCCGTGTGTATCATGCGTGGACGCGAGCTGCTCGTAGTGGCTGATGCTGCTACTGCTGAGACTGTGGCTGCGCTCTTGGTCGCTTTAGTGGACTTCTTTCGGTTGCTGCTGCGACTGCTAGCGACGTTGGACTTACCTGACTCCACGCCAGCTGCAGCCGTTGCTGCTGTGTCACCACTTCCTGATTTATCACTATTTTCGGGCTGTTTGCCCGCACCACGTCTCGATTTGGAAGCACCTTGCGTATTGCTGGATGAGCTAACGGCCGGCAATGTGGTGTCATTTACCACCACGAGCGAATCAATTTGGAAGATGCTCTTGTAGGTCTCATCAACGTTGGCAGCATTGCCATTGCTGTTTGTCTGCAGGAACTTTTCATCCCAGCTGCTATTGGCAGATTTAACCGAAGCGGATGCGTTGCTATTCGTAGCTCCATTTGCCACGGCTTTAGATTGATTAGCTGCTGAGCGCTTACGTTTCTCCTTTTTGGTTGGCAATGTGTCCGCCCCTTCCAGAAGATCATCGACATTCTCAACATCCAAGTCACAGAATTCCATATCGCTGGCATAATCCTCACCATCCTTATGCTCCGCCCGCATGTGGGCAATCTCATGGGGCTGCAGTTTCCTACGTCGCTTATACTTCCGTGGACCAGTCTAAAAAAAATACAAGATTAGGTTTATTAACTATATCTATTCTATAGCGAATGACTGCAACCGCTACTCACAATTGGCTGTCGCTGCTTGGCGGTGTTTGTATCGCTGTGCTGGATGAGATGCTGTATAAGCTCATTGGATGAGGACAAGTCGGCCGAGCAGACGGTGCAGTGGTAGGTGCCACGCACGGCATCCAGGCCCGAATGATGCGAGCGTATATGCTCACGCAGCACAACTCGCTGATTGAAGGCACGCGGACATACGGAACAGGCATAGGGCTTCTCGCCTGTATGAATGCGTTCATGCTTGCGCAGCGTTCCACCATCCGCGAAAGCCTTCCAACAATAGCGACAACCATATGGTCGCTCCCCCGTATGGATACGCACATGTATCTGCTGGGAACTACGCGAACCAAAGGTCTTGCCGCATTCATTGCAGGGAAATAGTTTGCCTGGCGAAGTGGTGCTGTGCGAATGTCGATGATTGGATAGCGTTCGTCCATCGGGAAACTCTTCGTGGCACACCTCACACACCACCGACTTGTCGCGATGCGAAGCCATGTGGCGCTTCAGTCGTGCTTTGTTGTGAAAGTTCTTGCCGCACTTCGAACACGAGTGGCATTTCTCACGCGAATGATCCCAGGCATGCTTGATCAGGGCTTTGCGATCTCGACACTCCTTGCCACACAACACGCATGAGTTGGGCTTCAGCTCCTGCGGATGGCGCGTGTGTAAATGCCGCTTAATAGCCTGCTCCTCATAGAAGCTAACACCACACAAAACGCATCTGAAAACGTATTCCATAAGTACATATTATAGAAGATCTTATTGTAGTGCTCCACTCACTTGAAAGGCGGGAAACGTGCATGCACCTCGGCATGGGCGAGTAGTTCCAAAGCGCTGGGAAACGATTTGCCGCATGTATGACAACAATGCTGCGCATCTTTGGCATTCTCGGCATCAGCGTCGCCAGTGACGCCCTCGACATCCGCGGACTGCTGCTTGTGCTGTTGCTTGGCATGGCGACGCAGCAGGTCCTGCCTGTGAAATGAAATGCCGCACTCGCTACAGTAGAAGTCACCATATAGTTGCTCTGATTCCGATTCACTGGCGCTATCCTCGCCAGCCGAAGCCGGATCATACTCCGAATTGCTCTCCTCGAACTGATGTGTCTTCTGATGTTCCTGCAGGCTGTAATTGTCCCAGAACATATCTTGACACTGATTGCATTCGAATGGAGAGTCAACGCGATGATTCTAAAATGGAACCAGGTGTAATATAGAAGTAAATTGGAAGGATTTATAAATAAAGTCACCTTAATATGTGAGACCAGGGCCTTTTCACGAGCAAATGCCAAACCACATTGCTGGCATACAAAGGGTTTGCTATCGTCTATCACCGGAAAGCGCTGAGCCTGTGGCGCATCAGCAACGGGAACGCTAACTGCTGCATGCGATGCATCAATTGACGTGCTGCTTGTCAGCGTTGGCGGCAGCTCCTCGCACTCCATGTACTGCTGCAAATCATCCGTTGTCTGCTTCTCGGCAATTACAATGTACGGAGTGCTTTCCTCTTTGGGCTTGAGACGGCTAATGCGACCGCGTGTGGCTGTTGGTGCGGGCACCTCGCTGATCGCTGCATAGCTAGCCTGCGGCATCACCAGCTGCTCTTGCTCCTGCTGCTCTTCCTCCATTTGCTGCAGCTGTTGCTGCACTTGATCCTCTTCCTGTTCCTGATACAAGGGCCATTCCTGTTCGTAGAAATGGTCGTCCATTTGGCGCTGCTGCTGCTGCGGCTCAAACTTGATTGCTGCGGCCGCATCAGCCGCCACCTGAGCCTCGGCATGCGCCTTGAAGTGACTGATGAGCTCAGCGCGCCGCGAGAATCGAGCACCACACAATTTACACAAATGCGGACGATCGTTCTGATGCGCCAGCATGTGATTGTTAAGGCTGGCCTTTTTGCGAAAACGCCGGCTACAGAAGTCACAGGGATAGGGCCGCAATGCCGTATACTCGTCCTGTTCCATGTCTAGCAGCTCCTGCGAACTGTTATTGCCCGCAATTTGCTCTGCAGCGATTTCCACGCTGAAAATTAAAGCATTTATACAGACCTCGCTTTTGGTTGAAATAATCAACTACTTACCGCTCGGCGCCCTGATGCTGCACCCAGTCATCTGTGATGATCTCCTCAGTGACCACCTGCGCATCCTCGTCAAACGCCTCGGCATAGGCAACAGTACCGCTGTCCGTAATTAAAACGGTACCTCCGCCACCTTCATTAGCAGCAATGATCTCGCTTAGCTGACCATCACGTGCCATGAATATGAGATTTTCGGCCGCCATATGGTCGAGATCTTCGTCGGTGGCATTGCCATTGACCAAATAGGCGGACGTTACCTCGCTGTCTGCAGCGCCGTTTTCCAGGTCGGTTTCGGAGTCAACCGCGGATGCGTGCTGCTGTATCCATTGGATGCCGCCATAATCCTGATTGTTCATAACTTAACTGCCCCGTTATTTTTGCTCTGCAAGCGAAATGTTGTTATTGCAAACTTCTCGGACAAACATAAAATAATTTACAAGCTAGAGCAACAATTGGCTCTGGAGCACATGTGCTCTTGGAAAAAGACCATGGGAGAGTAAGAGAGCACAATGGCGTTGCCAGATAGTTTGCTATCCAAACAAATTTAGCATTTGTCATTCAAAACATCTTATATGTCATATGGCTCTGAAAACTGGAATGTTAACTAACTGCAGCACACATAAATGTGTTTATTTCATTCACTATGCGTCGGTATTTAATAAAATTTTATCTTTTTATTGCACTCTTATTTTTGATGGCAACCCGGCGCCGCTTCCAGCTAAAACACACTAGCTGTCTCGCTCACATGCACATGTCAGCCGCATCGTTTTCGATTTAATGTTGTTTAATGGCCAAATCGTCGTCTCATAAGATTTTTCTTCCAATTATAAGTCTGTGTTTTATTTATATTCCAGACTGTTGCACATAACCTCAAGTGCAAAAACAATAATAAACAAACCGCACCGGCAACCCGAGCTCCATTAAGCACATAAAAGCATAACATCTATATACACATATGCATGTCTGACTCGATAAGACAATAGGTGGCGCAGTCGTGGCACTCACACTCACGCGGTTACATCACGCCCAGAATTTCTCATTTAAATTATTTCATTTGATTTTCAACGAAAGACTGTCGAAACAATAGCCACAACTACTTGCATTTACCTTGTATTTTAACTTCACACAGATGTCATTCTTTAATATTACACCGTCGGTTTTTAAATGCAGCAAATTGTTGTCCAAACTCAAAATACGCACGAACTGAAAGAATTCCGCAGCAAAATCACATACATAGTTTTTTTTCCTCCTCGACTCACAGCTGTTGCTGCGCCTTTAGGCGTGTGTGCGCATACGTGTGAACACTGTTAGCATACCCACTCACACAATGGAATTAGCGTAACATCAACTGTTAATAAGAGCAACCAGCTTTTCCTGGAATAAGCCGTTAGCAATTTTTTTAAAATTATAGATTTGTTTTTCTTGTAAAACTTACATCTGCTAACATGTTGTCTGGAAGCTAAATATAATAACCTTTGTATCTGAAGCAAATATTTATTTAAATTGCCTTAAGCTTTTTCTGCGCCTGTGTTTTTATTAAATCACAGGGGCAGTATTTTATTCAGTATTAAATGCAGTTTGCTTTCACAATAAGCGTACATTGTCAGTGTTGGCAACGTTCCTATGTAGATATTTACAGTGCTGTTAGATGTAACGCTTGTAAGTGCTTGAAAGTTGACCGTTACGTTCTGTAAATATTTAAATCAAGATAATATTATTTCCTTACATTTTTGTAAGTTAAGCAAAAATATTAGTCATGTCAATGAGTAACATGCTACTAAACGAATAATATAAATAAAAAATTTCATTAACAATATTTATTATTTATGCAGAAGTATATACTGTACAAAACAAATGTATTTTTTTTAAATTTCTAAGTAATTTTGATTATTCATAAATCTTTTCAAAATTTGCACGTACATAGACCAAGTACCCACGATCAAGGTACATAGGCATACACGCATACACATGCACATACACACATCTTGCAGTTAACTTTTAGATTTCTCTTTTGCCTCGAGCTTTGCTCTTTCATACAAAGAGCAATGCAAATGATGAGCGACGCGCGTCGCCCAAAGCGCGCCAAACTTTTTATTTTGTTTTGGCTTTGCCTCTGCCTTTGCCTTTACGTTTGCTCTGCTTTTATTTTTATTGCTCTGTGTGCGTTTTGTTGTGCTGTGTTGTGGGGCTCTGGGGCAGCGACAGCCAAGCGACTATTTAATTTTCGTTTTGCCGTGGAACCGTTTGGCGGCGACCCGCAAGTAACGTGCGCGTTCTGAATATTTCGAAATTGTCGAGTAAAAGCGCGTTCGTGATTCCATTTTGATTTATACGTCATTTGTGTTACCGTTACGTGTTGCTTGCATACACACACAAATAACGTATACTAAGAACGCTGCAGCGCCATCTAGTGTTAGCCAACCTGTTGCTGTTGTTGTTATGTATATTTGTCTAGTAAGTAAAACGTTAAGCCTCGATATAAACAAAAACGCAAGCGAATCGATAACAACAACAAAACAAAACAAAAAAAGTAACCGCCATCCTTTGACAGGCGGCGACGACATAAAATGTCAAACTGTCGATCAACATCAAGGCGAAATATTCAAGATGCGTGTGTTAACTGCAAAGAGGGCGCCGACTGCTCTGTCACAGATGTGTGTGTGTGTGTGTTTATGCATTTATATAAATATGTATGTATGTATGTATGCACACATTTGCAGGCAGCCATTTATGTAATGCGCGCACACACACACACATTTGCGCACATTTGCTATCCTCCTCCCTGTTTCGCTTCTTTTAATCTCTCGCTGTTGATCTCGCTTTCGGATACGCGCTTTGCATGCCTACTCGTTCCACTGGAATCGCAGTTGCCCTTCTCTGGAATGCGTTTAATTCAAATTTGAATATTATCGTTTTCGCTGTTTTTATTGGATTCTGTTTTGTTTTGGGGCTACGCTTGCTTGTTTTTACAACGCGAAACACTTGTTATGTGCGTGTGTGTGTATGAGTGTGTGTGCCCGCAGGGAAGAAATCAAACTAAGCGCAAATTTTAATTAATATTCCACGCACGCATACATAATAACAATCTCTCTCCCTCCCTCTCGCTCACACACACGTGCATGCATTGGAACAATGTTGTTATTGTTGTTCAATGTGCTCGTTTTTGTTGTTGTTGTCTGTCATTTTGTTTGTTTTGTATTTTCTTGCATGAATTTTTATTTTGGCTGCTGGTATTTTTGATATCGATAGGAATTTGCGCATGCCCAACACATTCTACAGCTAACGATCGCGGCACACGCTTCTTGGCCAGGTAAGAGTCAGCCATCGGCATTGGAATTCCATTGGAACGATCCAAACCATTGTCTATTTATAGAGCTGCAGTATATTTTTATGACATATCAGCAGAACTGATCATAAAATATTCTCAGATTCAGAAAAATATCTATCCTAGCGAATTATATCAATTCACATTAAGGTAACGACAAAGATAGGACATTATTACTGGATATTTAAATAAGTTGAAAATCTTCAGAGTAACTTCTTTCCAATGTTCCTCCTATAAAGAAGGTTGCATCTAAAACATTATTGAAGTGCTTGATAGCTTTTTTTTTTGGTTTGTCATCGTACACTCTATTAGTCATTCTCATTAAAGGATACTTGAAAATCGCATAGAAAGGCGTTACGCTTATGATTATAGACCTTATATATGTTTTAATTTTTATTTTTATTCGAAATACGACATTTACAAGGGATTTAATTTACGTTTGAATTGTTGAAGTCTTTTCTGAATTCTTTGAAAAAAGTTGGACAGGTATGACCTAATTCTATGGCGTCTCGATTTCTTTGTTGGTGCTGCCGTTGCCACAGGTGCAGCTGTTGTAGGTATTGTTGCTGCCGTTGTTGTTGCAATGCATTCAACATTTGTGGGATTTAGCGAACAATTAATACAATTGGGATCCAATGGTGCCACATCGCAAGTAACAGCTGCCACAAAGGAGGGCACACAATAGATAATGCCCGCCAATAGAAACAAAATTTTGGCACAACTCATTTCGATGGCTCACAATAGACGACTAACATTAGATAGCCATATATTTGCAGATTTTAACCAAATCAAATAGATAAAGTAACAAAGAAACAGATTTTTATTTTGCGTATTGATAGAGCCCATAAAATTTACACAGCTGCTTGATAAACTAATAGAAGGCAACACGTGGTATGTGTGATACACTGAAACAAATTTGGAATTATGCAAAGAAGTTTACAAAAAGATAGAGCCATTTAGTTGAGATTGCTGTGCAAAATATGGTTTTATTTTAAATTCTAGAAAATGTTTTGAAATGTGAACTCTTATATTAAATTTGAGTGTAATTTTAAGGACACACAAAATATAGCTAAAGAAATTTAGAAGCTTTATGAAAGTTTTAATTCAAGAAGAATAAAATAGAATGGGAATCTCTGAGTCTTATAAAGAAATAGAAAACGATTTTATAGAAGTGTACAAAATTTTTTTTTTGAATTTTTATGGGATTTTTAAAGAGTGCTTAGCAAGATGTATAACATTTCAAAGAACTATGGTATAGAGTAGAACATGTTTATAGATAAACATGAATAAACTGATGAAACTTAGTTTTTTTCCTATAGACTTAGCGCTGGATTTATATTTGTATAGAAATTTCTAAGGAATAGAGCAGAAAATATTGAATAAATAAATGGTTAAAAGGGCTTCTTTAGTTGTACATCATAATACATAAAAATATCTAGATATTTCTGTTGTTCTTATAGACTTAGAGCCAACAAGTTGCGAGCTGATGAGATGTTGACATAAAAATTGTGGCACTGACAACAATTGGACTAAATTTTAATTGTTGGCCATTTGCATAGACAACAGTTGTTGCTGTTGCAGTTGTTGTTGCAGTTGCTGTTGTTGTTGGAAGACCTACAAAATTCAACAAGTTGACGATCTCATTGATGTTTTTATGCGCTTGTCAACAATTATTTATGTATTTATGTATGCGCATGCAAAGATCGGTGGGCGCAACGTCAAAAGCAAAGCAGAAGAAGAGGAGAAAAACGTGCGTGGCTGTGAGCTACCGTCTGATGGCACCCACATAAAACATTTCTGTTGCTGTTTCGGTTTCTGTTTTATTCATTTTTGGCACACAAACGTAGAATTCGGTCACTCAGAGATTGCGATAAGCGGGAAAAACATGTGAAAGTCATAAGACTGACACCAAATGCCAGTCACACTAAGCAGCAGCAGCAGCAGAATTTCACTGTGAAATGTATGGGAAAAATAAGGTAGCTAAAGCTGTGAACGACGAGCAGATACCCTGCAAGCGGAAATTTTTAAATAGACACTTCCAATGCATCTGAGAACGCTAACATTTTTATATAGCTCAGCTGAATGGTAAGCCACATAACAAATTTAGTGCAATTAACTCCTACAATGCTCGAGCTATGCTTAGAAAATGAAATGATATAGACATATTAAACAAATGAAAGTAGTTGTTTTGCTTGAGTTTATATTTGCCAAATGTCAAGTCATTGCTTGTAACATTTATGCATAACGAAAACAATCTACCCCTGCAATAAAGAGTTTCGACTGGGCTCAGGGCAAAAGTCGGTCTAAAAGCTAAATGAATGTCATACCGAAATCCATCAGAATGTGGCAGACAGATGAGAAAAATTTCTCACGCAAAGCATGATTAATTGCAATTTAAATGAAATGAAAAACAACGAAAGCTCTAGCGAGTGGGCGAAGAAAACCAACAAACAATAGAAAAAAACATTGTACAACATTGCGTATGAGCGTTATTTACTTGGCAGCTGTTCTGAAGCGTCGCAGTCCTGTCTCATAGTCTTTCTCGCTCTCGCGTGCTCTGGCTCTGCTTAACAGCTGCTTATTGTGCTACATTTTCTCTGTCTCTTTCTCTCTCTCTCTGTTTCTCTCTTTTGGCTCTTGCTCTAATTAGACAAATATTCGCATGCTCACACGAATTCTTTTAACAAACAATTTATTTATTTTTTATTTATAAATAAATTAAGAACAGCTGCGTGCGCGCGCTCTCTCTCTCTCTCTCGCTCGCTCGCTCTTTATCGCTCTCTTCTGCCACTCTCTTTGGTCTCTCTTTCTCTCTATTTGTATTTTGACTAAATTATTTTAATTGTTTACATACGAAGCTTTTGTGTTAGCTGCCTCTTCGCTTTGGGGTTTCGTATTCGGCGATTTTATTATAAATTGTTTTATTGCCAGCGAACGTGGCGCGATTTCAGCTTTTCAATAATATCTTTATTGGCCGTTTGACACAAATAAAAAAAAATAAAACAAAAAACGCTTCAATTGATTTATTTGATTTTATTAACGCTCGATTGCAAAACATTTTGTCGTGTGCGTGGCAAATGATCGTGTAAATTGCATTGAAATCGTAAAAGTTTTCTTGAATGCATTTTAGGCGCATGTAAGTGCAGTATAAATTCGATTTTTACGTGCTTTATAGCCGATTATGGAAAATGTTTCGTTCGAAGCAGTAAACGCGTTGGATCACACACTCGAATTGATATCATATATAAATATATATATATATATGTTTGTGTGTGTGTGAATATATATACATATATTTTATGTTTGTTTTCCATTTTTTCGTTACTTATCAAATATTGAATAGCTTAAGCTCTTTATATAGCTTTATTTTATTTAATTCTCTTCAACTAAAAATTAAATTACTTTCTCTATAAGTTAAAGCATATTATTCCGTTACTTATTAATAGAACACATTTCCTTTTAATGCGAATTTTCCAAATTCCTGGCGATTTGTTTACAACAAAATACAATTTATTGGCAACTAAATATGTTTTGTTTTTTTCTGCTGCATTAGCCTGCTCTGGCCCATGCCTCTAAATAGTATTTAAAAAACAATAAGTAGAATTCAGATTGAGCTGTAACGACTGCGTCATACTCGTTCACAGTTCAACAATGGCTATATATCATAATATATCGATATTTCCGATTTCTTCCAAGCTCTGAACATTTATTGCCATTAATTTAGATGTTTATAAAGTTTATGTTTTGAGCAATGCAGCACTACCATTTTTATGAACACCCATGTTTATATAGAAGAATTTATATAGACAGGACACTGGATACAGGAGAATATATACTATAAAATTTGGAATATCATTTTATATATATACCAAATACAAACCATCAAACTATAATTTCAATGAAATGCTCTCAGTTCATAACGACATAGCCACGGAGGAACGTATAGCAAGACGTACAAAGCATAAAACCAATATACTCTTCTCACACCGTGAAGGAGCATGGGAAATGTAGAAAATCAGGTGCTGCAGACTTGTCTATATTGAAAAGAATTCGCATCGATCAGACGCTCAGCTCGAAAACTCGCAAATTCTGAAGCAAAATTTCGTATTTCGTTTTTTATTTTATTTTTTTATTTAATTTTTTTTTGGACAGGCCTCCATTATGCTTGATTCTGGGGCCCCGAGCCCCGCATATGTCAATTGTGTGCAGGGCATGCATGCTCCACTTGATCTTGTCGCTGTCGCCAGGGGAATATACGCGTTTGTGTATATATGTATATATATTAATCCCGGTTCGTGCCGGCTGCTGTTGTTGCAGTCAACGGCGCATTTACCTAAATTGGAATTTCCGGTAAAACGTAATGAAAATCGTAGCAATCAAACCGAAAAACACACATACACTGAGCGAAATATACATATATATATATAGAAACAAAAATATGCAAATAAGTCACAAAAAGTGCACGACATAAATATATCCGTACCAAATTCAAGAAGTGAAGAAAAGGCCATTGACACTGATTTATATTTAAGACATTGGAGGAGTTTACTCAAAAGATCACAGTGCTGCTCTCTTAGATCGATGATGCTTATGCATTGAGCTTTTATTCCAAATAAGCGTTAAAGAGCATACAAGATTTTATTTACTTGCTGGATTCTCTACAACTTTCAAACTTCAGTTCTAGTATGAAAATTCTTATGGCTAATATTATTATATAAAGTTTTAATTTATATTCTAATCTTATATAAAAATCAAGCTGTTGACTAATAAAAATTATGTAAGGCTTAAAGACGTTAAAGTTTTTAACAAGCTTTAATAACCCACACATGTAATATGAAAAATCGCATAGTTTTCCTAAAAACTCTTTTACTTTAGTCAATCAATCTGTCTAAATAGTCCTCACCTACAGGTATGCTAATGAAAGTGTTTAAGATGCTTAAATTCGTAAAGCTTTAATATGCTTTGCAAGTTCTAGCATGCTGAAGTTTCTTATTTGCGTGATTACATAGACTTAAGGAGCTTTCAAAGTCTTCTGTACAAGTTTAGGAAATATGTTACATATTTGATTACATTACACACTTTAAATATATTTTCATAAGACTATTTGCAACATGAGTGAACAAATACACTTACTATAAGACCAAGCAAATATATATTCTGATATACTTGCAAATGCCTTCACTGCGGCATATTGATATGCAAATGAATGTCAACAGCTTAAATGAAATAATCGTCTTAAACGAACGGCCGTCTCGCTAAATCGCTCGACTTAATTGCTTTTTCCAAGGAGACTGAGCGAGGGAGAAAGAGATGGAGAGTATGAGAGATGGAGAGGCTCAAAACATTTAAGTGCTTATTTTTTATGAGCGCCTTTAATGAGTTATTAAGTTAATAATCATTTTTATTGCTTATCACAAAACGTTTTCCAAATACATTCAAATTAACCAATCCTTAGATGCACCCCTCTCTCTCACCCTCCCTCCCTCACTCCCTCTCTCTAAATTTAGATTATGTTTACATTAACATTGAAATTGAAACAAAGAAAGAAAACTTTTCTTTTGTAATACTATAAACAGTTTTTCTTCTCTTTTCAAAAAATTGGGTTACAATTCTGTAAACAATTGAGCATAAATACACTTAGCGGAATTCTTTCTTGTTCAGGTGAAGTTTCCATGGGAAATAAATAAAAAACTGCCTTTTATGATATGCTAATAAATCAATCAATG